AGAGAGAGAGAGAGAGAGAGAGAGAGAGAGAGAGAGAGAGAGAGAGAGAGAGAGAGAGAGAGAGAGAGAGAGAGAGAGAGAGAGGGGCATGGAAGACGGGGTGGAACACATACCTTCGCTAGATGTCAAAGTCACGGACGTGGAAGTTGGCGAGTAGCAGCAGAAGGCGAGCGTATGAACTCCACGGCGGCAGATTGCAGCTGCAAGGGTGATACGGAGTGCAACCCTGTTTTTTTGGCGGCGGGCGTTCAAATTCGAAATCTTCGCGCCTCCCTGTCTAATGGCATCTCGCAAAGATGCAGGCCCCGGAGGAGGGCAAATCGGACAGGCACCACGGGAAATGGGACCGCAGGTCTGGTAGGTGCATTACGAAAAGATGGGCCCCTCACTGACAGGGGCCTGCACGAAAGCTCAGAGGCCCCAGGGGCAAATCAGAAAACCTCGGCCGTCCGAGGGCAAATCGCCAATGAACTGAAATTTCAGGGGCATTTTGCAAATTTTCCCTCTTTTTTCTTTCTTTGTTCTTTTAATTTTTGGTGTGATGCCGAGGGGCCCGGCCATTCAGCAACGACTGGACGTTCCCTTGGCCGACCCCCTTAGACTGCGGTGCGTATACGGGAAGGCCCCGCGGCCGATGTATGGGCCAAGTACTGGTGGTTTAAGGGGTAGGACAAACATAAACTTCGAAGTTGGATGGCAAGCTTCTGACACGTTTTCTGCTACATCCTTCCACGGTCGATGGGGTCTGCAAATGCTTTCTTTTTTTTATTTTTATTTTTATTTAAAGGTAAGGTCTGCAAATGCTTTCCATTTCGGGTTTCCATGGGTGTTTCCAGACGGGTGGAGTCCGGAAAAAAAAACAAAAAAAAACAACGGTCTGAAGCCCAACCAATTCATCGAGTTTTTTTCAGGCCGCCGAGGAGTGGGTTGCACCCCCAAATGTGAAAAACAAAAAGGTCGGTGGCGGTTTCGCAGAGCAGCGGCTTCCCAGCAGCAGCAAGCCAGCCGCTGAGAAGCAGGGACCTGGGGCCCAGTCCCACTAGCAGGGTTGAGTTTCCTCAACGCCTGAATCTGGATGTGTTTGAGGGGATATGCAGAAACGGCTTTGAGTTTCTTCAACCGCACATCTCCACGAACCCGTCCAGATTCAGGTGTTGAGGAAACTCAATGCGGCTTGTGGGACTTGGCCCCCGGGCAGTAGAATGTTCTGGAATCGGAAGGGGGAACTTACCAACCATCGTCCTTCGTTCTATCTACCGGTATTTGGCGGGGTTTTGGGTTCGAAGGGGGATGCGACGGCCATAGCCGGCGGGCGAGGGAGCAGCTCCACATTGATGATCTGTGGTCGCGCTGCGCCGATACAAAACCTCGTGCTGCCCCCCCCCGCCGCTGTGCCGCTCCCAATTCCCGCTTCCCGCTCTCGCTCCCGCTTCCGCTTCCGCTTCCGCTGCGCTGCTCCCATCGTTACCGCGTTAGACACGAAAGTATACTTTCAGTTGACGCCAACATTTTGGCGGCGGTGTTGTTTACTTCCTGCGAACGCGAGCACGCCATCTCCCGCGCTTTTCATTTATACAGCAGTTCCCGCTCTTTTCATTTTCAGCAGTTTGACTATAGCCAAAGACCACAAAGGACCCAAATCGATCGAAGGAGCGCCTTCGGGAACGCCGTCGAATTTTCCATCTCGGTCGGATGCATTTTTGCGCGCGTGCGGGGTGCGGGCGATTGCTATCCACGTGGCAAGCTGTGGTTCCTTCGTTGACCGCGGTTGACAGAGGAATCGAGTTTTTGCTTTCCGTAGACTGAAAGTCTCCTCCTAGGACCGGGAAACGAACGTTTCGATTTCCGCATAGCACACAGTACATTCATTGGGGTGTGTATTACTGTTAAGTCCAACGTGCGGGTCAAGTGAGCCGCGCTCTCGAGTGGTTTGTCGGCGGTCCTTTCTGTCTGGCAAATCGATCGTGGAGAACAACCAAGCAGGTCGGGATCGCGTGTCATCAGCAGGTAGAGCGAAAGTTGTCATAGCAATTATAGGGAGAGGGAGAAAGTGGAAGAGGAAAGAAGGAAGAGAGCGAGAAAGCAGAAAATGAGGAAGGACACGTTCGCGGAGATGGCGGAGGTATAGTCTCTGATTCAAGTGTTCCCTCCCTCCTTTTGCAGTTGTTCTGTACCGAGCTCTCTCTCTCTCTCTCTCTCTCTCTCTCTCTCTCTCTCTCTCTCTCTCTGTGTGGACGCGTGCGTGGTGGTGGCGCAGGTATTTGATCTCTCATTGTCTCTCATGGAAGTGTTCATCCCTCTTGTACGTCTTTTTTCTCTGTTGCTCTCTCTCTCTCTCTCTCTCTCTCTCTCTCTCTCTCTCTCTCTCTCTGTGTTTCCGGTGTGCTGCGCTTTTCGTTCTCCTCTGCTGACCGTATATCTTATTTGGATGCTTGCGAATGGACGTGGTCATTCCCGCTCAGCTTGTACGACTCCGTGCCCTCGTCTTGTTAGTCCTATCGACGCGCTTCGCCGCTGTCCCTCTTCGAAGAAGGGTTGCCATAGTCTTTCGATGAAATCGTCCGCCTTCTTCGACCTCAGCCATACCAGTTGCGCATGCCAAAGATTCCGCGCACCTACTGTCCATCCACCAACCACCACGCTCACGATTTGACTGTTTTTTTTTTTTTCTGGACGTCTGTTCTTGTCAAGCTCTATCGGAGTCCAGTTAAGATCGCGGTTTGACTTTGGGAATGTTCGGTCGAGGAGTTCCCTATCGTGTGGATGTTCTTACCTTAATTGTTTTTTTTTTTTTTTTCTTTTCTTTCGGTTTTGGTTTACTTTCCTTTTTGGGAAGATGGGGAGAAAGGGAGCAGGAGGTTCAAAGACCACTTGCAGGTGTGCGTTAGCGCTCGTGGTTCCACATCCACAGAAAGAGAGCAGTAGGTTCAAAGTCTACTTGCAGGTGTGCGTTAGCGCTCGTGTTTCCACATCCACGTGGGCGGCCTTTTACGCAAGAGGTTCTGAATAGGGGGAGTAGTAAGGAAGACGGGAAAAGAAAACAAAAAACATTCCTTGTTTTCTTTCTGTTTTTTCGCTTTTGCGCTTTTATATCCTTGTGACGATATATGTTTGTGTGTGTGTGTGTGTTTATATGATATATATATATATATATTTGTGTGTGTGATTGTATCCGTTATACGCAATTCCTCAAGAAAAGCATGTCTGTGCCAGACTGTTTGGTCGAACTGTCACCGACTGATCAGGTCGTTGAACCTGGACGGACAGTCTGCTCAGGATGCATTTGACCGATGGATAAGGAGTCGCCGTGTCGCCCAGAGTATTTGTGTCCTTGATCTTGGTGGTTTGCCCCCGTTTGGATCTTTGGAATTCATAGAGTGATGGTGTTTTCAGAGTAGTTTCAGCGTAATTTCAGAGTAGTTTTCGAGTAGTTTCAGCGCAATTGAAGAGTATTTTCACAGTCGTTTCAGCCTAATTGCAGAGTAGTTGATCTTGGTGGTTTGGCGCCGTTTGGATGTTTGGAATTCATAGAGTGATGGCGTTTTTTCAGCGTAATTTCAGGGAAGTTTTCAGGGAAGTTTCCGAGTAGTTTCAGCGTAATTGCAGAGAAGTTTCCGAGTGATTTCAGCGCAATTTAGAGTACTTTCACAGAAGTTTCAGCCTAATTTCGGAGTAGTTTCAATGTAGTTTGAGAATAATTCGGAATGGCTTCATTGAATTGTCGCTCTGCTTTCTCGCTTTCTTTTCTCGTTCGTTTTCTTTCCTCGTTGATAAATATAAATATATTGATGATGCCTGGCACCCTTTGGGTTTTCTTGCATGTTGTTTTTTGTCTTTACCCCGTGTCAGTGTTTTGACTTGAAAAAAAAAAAAAAAGTCAGTTTGACTTTTTTAATGAAGTTGTCAGTTCATTGGTCATCAGACTTTGTATGGAAATTCAGTGAGTCGCAGACTGTGCGACGATGCACTAGCGACTCGCGGAGCGGGCTGTGTATGTCGAACTCTCTGGTCAATCAAGAAACTCTGGGAAATTTTATGCTATTGAATTTTTTGGCCTCGCTCCACCACGCAGCGTGTATGGAGGAAAACATAAATTATGACGATGAATCTTCTTATGTTTTTGCGGAAGATTCATTCGCATTTTGCACATTTGGTTTAGTGGTGGAGCGAAGCCCTTCGTAAATCAAGTATGTTATCTCGCTCGTCGACCCCGACGGAATCTACCGTTCCTCCGCCCCCCCCCTCCAAAAAAAAAAAAACCAAATCACAACGCATCCCCCATCATGACTGTAACGGACCTTGAAACTTCGCTTGATACGCTCATGATTAGGGTGCGTTGTGTTCGGGGGAAGAGGCTGTAGTGGAGGAAGCTTTGATGATCTGGCGGGGCGGGCTTCCCTCTGGATGAAAAGTGTAGTCCCGGTGATCTGCTCTTCTGCGTGTGCTCTCCCGCCTGCTATCGCAGTCCCGATCGCGAAGTTTCGACCCCGGAGTGCGCGCTCTTCTTTCAATATTCACCCTGCCTCTTTCTACTATTCACCCAGTCCCGATGCCGACGTTCCTAAATTCCTCCGTTGGTTGGTTCTCTTCAACCGTTAGATTGAGCGTCCATCTCCCTCTTCAACCGTGGGAGGTTGCACGTTCGACGCTTGGGATCGGTGCTCGTGCATGCGATACAAGTCGTTCTCTCTTTGCAGCGGGGCCCCTTTCTCCCGTCTGTCTTTCTCTATCTATCTCGCACTGTTTCCACTTTTTCTGCGCCGATTGCTTTGACTTTTCGTACAGCTATGAATACTCCTCTGTTGGCGCGCTTTTGCCTGTTCAGACAGACCCAGTCGGGACAGGAGAGTACAGAGCAGGATCCCGATCGAATCAGATAATAAGGCAGATCCGATCGCAACAGATACGAGAGATGGACCCGATCGGGGAATAGACAAAGTCAAGATCCAGACTGACATAGGTAAAGATGATGCAGATCGACATACACTATCACACAAACCCCGATTTAAACCGCCAATTAGACGTACCCGATCCGGACCTTAATTGGACAGTCCCTAGCGAGACCCTCAATCAGAAATACCCGATCATAAACCCAATTAGGCACACCGGATTTGAACCCCCAATTAGACAGACCCGATTAAAACCCCCAGTGAGACACACCCGATTGAAATTGAAATCCCCAATTAGGCATACCCGATCAAACCCCCAATTAGACGTACCCGATCAAACCCTCAAGTAGACGTACCCGATCAAATCCCTAATTAGGCCACCCGATTCATACCTCCAATTAAACATACCCGAAAGTGGACATACCCGATCAAATCCCCAATTAGACGTACATTATCATATCCCCAAGTAGGTACACCCAATTGAAATTTTTAATTAGACACACAGACCCGATCGGAGACGCGATGAGAGGGACCTGATTGAAACCCCTGATGAGACATGCATCGGATCAATCAATATAATAGTTCTATTTCCAGCCACTCTAATCTCGATACTTTAATGGCTACGTGATTGTGTTGTATCCGTGCTCTTTTTTTTTTTTATGTTTTGTTTTTGTTTTGTTGGGATGTGCTATTCCCTCCCCCGTTCGATCTTGATCAAGGAAGAGGAAGGGGCGGTCCTCAGATCAATCCTGTCCTTCCTTTTTCGCTTGTGTGCTTTACGGGCTGCCCCCCGGGCTCTCTCCCCCAAGAAAAAAAYAAAATTCCCGGCCCCCCCCCCCAAGACCCCCCCCCCCCCCAAAGAAAAAAAATCCCAGCCCCATCTCTGTGAACGACCCTCAGCGTCGACCGTCGTGCGCATCGTAGTTCCATCTCTTCTTCGCTTTCCGGCTGAACTGTTTGAAATCCAGGCCTCAGTAGAAATCCCAATCACAGCTGAGATGAGTAAATAACTTCGAATTTATCTGGGACCGGTTAGTTTTAACCTGGGACCGGTAGTTTTTACCTGGGACCGGTAGTTTTTACCTGGGACGGGTTAATTTGGAGATGATAAATCTCATGGCCGTCCCTTCATGAGGTCAGATTTCATGTGCAATGTCAAGGGGCAAGGTCCCGTGGACAAATTATTCATTCCTGGCCGTTGATCTCCGTAATCGACGGTCAGAAATGAGTCAGACGGTTTATAGTGCGATCTCGTCAGTTCACTCTTGTGTGCTGTTACGCCCGATAACGTAGTGGTGGTGGTGCGTTAGTAACTCGAAAAGGGAAAAAAAAGGCAAAGAAAAATTGAAGAGGAGGAAAAACGAAAAAGAAAAACGAGAAAGAAAATGACGTATGATAGTTGCGGCTAGAATGGATGTCCAGAACTTTCTTTTGGGGCTTTTGTGGTGAGTTTGTCCCGGAAAACAGTGGTGGCGAGTTTGAACCCCAGAAAACTTATCTCAACAGATTAAAAAATGAAAATAAAAAAAACGAAAAGGAGGCAAAAAGAAACGAAAAAAGAGGAAAGAAGAAGAAAATGGCTTTTTGATAGTTGTGGCTACAATTCAGGTGGCATGTCTCGATCTTTTCTTTGTGGCTTTCGCACCGCAGAAAACAGTGGTGGTAAAGTTCCAATCCCCAAAAAAAAACGAATCTCAAAAGAATTAGTTGAGGCCACAGTTCAGATGACATGTCCTATTTTTCTTTTTTTGTTTTTTTTCGTTTTTTTGCCCCACACAAAACAGAACGGTGGCGGTTAGAGTTCGAATCTCAAAAAAAAAAAAAAAAAAAAAGAAAGGAATAGAAAGAAGAGAAAAGACGATGTAAAGTATCAAGAAAAGAAAATTAAAGAAAAGAAGAGAAAAAGTAGCCATCTCATGCAAGGGTCTCGCCGTACCACTGTGGAAACGGAAAAGACTCGAGTGGATCTTCGCCAGAAAGTGGCAAGATAGTTCGTATATATTCAGAATAAGGGTGCGCCTGAATCGAGACGGAAAGATAGTTTGTATACATTCAGACTAAGGGTGCGACTGAATCGGTGTATACATTCAGACTAAGGATGCGACTGAATCGGTGTATACATTCAGACCAAGGGTGCGACTGAATCGGGCCGGAAAGAGAGTTTGTATACATTCAGAATAACGGTGTGCCGTATTGGGAAGAAGACGGTAGGGATGCTGGCAGGCAGGGTTTA